TTTACATGGATCATGGTCATTTCTGATCCTTGCAACCAAGATATCTTTAACTAAAACTTTCAGCTCCTGTTATTCTGGACAGTTACAGACAATTCACTAAAAATATGTTCTAACCAGCTAATTTTTTTCCTAGCCACATTCTTTAAAAATTTATAGCAATTTTCATTTCTTTTTTTTTACAGTGAAATTATTATTTTTTTATTGTGAAAATACTGTACAGAGGGGTTACAATTACATGGGCAAGATAATGAGTACATTTCTTTTTTTTTTTTTTTACTTTGAACATGAAAACTCAATGTTGGGATTTTTTGTGTGTGTGAAAATACTGTACAGAGGGGTTACAATTACATGGGCATGATAATGAGTACATTTCTTATCAAGCATTGTAACCTCCTCCTTTGTTTCCCCTTCCCATCCCTTCCCATCCCCTCCCCGCCCCCTACCCAAGCAATTTTCATTTCTATGCAGTATTAATACCTATTTCTTTTTTTGGGGGGTCCGGTCACGGGGCCTGAACTCTGGGCCTGGGCACTGTTCCTCAGCTCTTCAGCTCAAGGCTAGCACTCTACCACTTGAGCCACAGCGCCACTTCCGGCTTTTTTTTTCCCTTTTTGCTTGTGCGGTGCTGAGGAATCGAACCCAGGGCCTCAGGCATGCAAGGCAAGCGCTTTACCACTGAGCCAACTTCCCAGTCCCTTTAATACCTATTTCTGCAAACTCCCAGTCTTCGCCAGCTCTAAAAATGCTTTTCATCATTGTAGTTGCTGAAACAGGTTTGTTGTTGGAAAATCATGCCCTCTTGTGTCCAAATGGAGAACTTGATATTAGATTTACAAGGGGCTTCATCCAGGTATTTACATATATACATACATACATTACATCATAATTGAATTCATCTCCTGAATCAATCATTCTCCCTCATCCTCTTTCCCCTCTTAAAACATTCAGCAGGTTTCATTGTTGTTTTCATGCATGTATATAGTTCCTGGACCATATTCACCTGTCTTCACATTTCCATTTGCCCTCCTCACTCCCACTGCTACCCATTCCCACTGGTCACATGTTTTGATTGTAACCGTGAGACTCTATTTGAGGGAACAGATTGTCAATGAATTTAGCTATGGTTTTTTTTATGAGGACCAAGACGTGCACTAGAAACTTGATGGCCACCAAGTCCTATTCCAGGACCCAGAGATATTGTGCATGTTTGTTTTCACACAATGTTTCTTTCTTAATAAAGCCCAAGAGAACTTGATGCTAGAGTTTGTTTTTTTTGGGGGGGGGGTCTGGTCGTGGGGCCTGAATTCTGGGCCTGGGCGCTGTCCCTCAGCTCTTCAGCTCAAGGCTAGCGCTCTACCACTTGAGCCACAGCGCCACTTCCGGCTTTTTTTCTTTTTGCTTATGTGGTGCTGGGGAATCGAACCCAGGGCCTCGTGCATGCAAGGCAAGCGCTCTACCATTGAGCCACCTTCCCAGCCCCTGATGCTAGAGTTTCTTAGCCTTGGCACTAATGGCATTTTGAGCCAGGTATTTCTTTGCTGAAAGGGAATGTCATGGGCATTTTAAGCTGCATCCCATGCCTCTACTCATTAGATACCTATGCACACACCACATGCACACACCACTTGTGACAACCACAAATGCCTTCAGACAAGACATTACCACTGCCAAATGTCCCTAAGAGTGGGGAAAGGAGGGGAGTAATTCCCAAGCTGAGAAGCAATGATAAAGCAAAAGTAAACCACACAATACTGCCCTTGAAGTAGCACTAAACCCTGTAGGTTTTGGCACACTGTTGGAGCCTAAACCTGAAAACAAGCTGCAAGTCCTCTGAGTTCCCATATTGTGTACCACGGGAAGAAAAGTTCCAGGTGCCAGGTGCAAAACCTCCTGTTTTTTAAATAGGACATACGACCTGCAATCACAAGATGACTTTTAAAAATTAAATTCATTTCTTATAAGGCATAATAGGAGTGAAAGTTAATGCAGTCATCCACTTCTTTAGTAAATAGGTGAGATAATTGGTACTGGAGCTGATCCAAAGGCAGACAGTCCTGCCTGTGAAGAGCTAACGATTCTAGAGGGGTTTGGTGGGGGGATGATTCAATTATAAGTTAAAGAAAGTCCAGTTCCAACTTGCTTAACAGCAAGGAGACTTTACTGGCTCACATATTTGAGAAGCACATGAGCAGTACAGATGGTTAGGTAGTTCTGTGTCTCATTCTAAGGCTTACCTACTTCTCATCGGAAGCAACTAGAATTTTAAGCTTCCTTATTTCTAGGAAAACATCTGAAACTCACTTGTTTGGGCTACTTTAGGTACTTGATCATCCCTTAACCAGTCACTGCAACTGGGTAGGGAGATGGAAAGTGAATGAGCTTGGCCTAGATCACTTGTTCCAACGATGGCAGGCTTCCATAGAAATAGAGTAGGTTCCCTAAAGAAGATGAGACTGCTGGGAAGTAGGAGAGAACCATACATCCTAGGTGAATGTGAGGCAGGCAGTCAGAGCCCTCTGTGTTTTTTGTCATGCAGGCTCTGCCTGGTGATTTTATCCAGTCCCAAAGCCCCATTTTCATGGGTATCTAGGAATTTGCAGGCTTCCCTGCTTCACACCTGCTGCTTCTCCCTCAGAGACCTCAATCCATCCAACTTCCCAGTGACTCCTCTTCTGTCAAAGATCAGTTCATGGGTCAGGCCTCTTAAGTTTTTTGTTTTTTTTTTTCCCCAGATCCCTAGATATTCTTCCTTCCTCCATAATTCCATAGCCGAGTACTCACCTACATTTTGTACTTGCTCAAGTTCCACAGTCCTGATTTTCAAGCTATATAGTCCACGATCTGGCTGTTAAAAGAGTTTTCAGGATGCTCAATTCTCTCCCTTTGGTACATAACCCTTCGATCGTGATTCCCTAGATGCCCAGACATGTCAAGATAGTTACAGTATGTGTAAGACTGTTACAAAAACTGCATTTGTGGACTGGGAATATGGCTTAGTGTAGAGTTCTTGCCTAGCATGCATGAAACCCTGGGTTTGATTCCTTAGTACCACATAAACAGAAAAGGCCACAAGAGGCGCTGTGGCTCAAGTGGTAGAGTGCTAGCCTTGAGCAAAAGAGCTGAGGGACAGTGCCCAGGCCTGAATACAAGCCCCAGGACTGAGGGGAAAAAATGTATTCATTGCATGACATGTGACCGTAACCCCTCTGTACATCACTTTTACAATACACTTTTACAGTAAAAGAATGAGGGAGGTAGTCTAGTGCTGTTGTATGAGCACAGGCTTTAGACAGAAATTTTGAATCCTAGCTCTGCACCCCTCCAGATTTGAGTCTTGGACTAAGATCCCTACTTACCCCTTTTAAAATGTATGTGAAGTGTGTTGTACATTCAATAGACTCGATGGCTGTCGAGCTGATATATTCACTAATACAGTACACATTTAATAAATACTGGTACTGTCAGAACAAAAGGGTCTCACGTGATAGTGACTTTTGCTATGACTGATAAAAGCTTTGTCCTTCCAAGAAGGACAAAGAGCCCGCTATGTGGCACACATCTATAATCTCAGCACTTGGTAGGTACAGGCAAAAGGATTGTGAGCTCTAGCCCTGTCCCCTGTCTCAAAACACCAAAATGAAAAGTGGGGGAAAGAAACAAGTCTTTCAGGCCTTGAATAAACCTCTCCCATTCCAGCTGCATGCCTACATGTGCTTCCCAGATTCAAACTGGAGTGGAAATAGGTGTGGCTGACCTGTCTACCTGCCCCTTGCCCTGGCACGCCTTCCAAAGGACTGACATGGTACAGCAGTGGTTACACAGTGTTTATATCAGCCTGGCATACTCAATTGATAGGTAAGAATAACCGTCTTTCTTACATGATGCATTTAAATTTACATAATGAATTTGAAGCAGGTTTAATGCACTAGAAGTGGGAGATGGTACAGGCCTAGGATGTTATCTAGTTTTGAAACCATTCATTCCTATGTAAAAATTCTATGTAAAAAAAATTCTATGTAAAAAATCGTATGTAAAAATTTGCAAGAATTTACACTTGTAAATTTTTTTTGCATTTTTGCATTTGTAATTTCTTTGCAAGTTGCATTTTCCAAGATATGAAATGTGGCCCTACATATGTGCTGTATCGGCACATTTGTTCTGTGGGCTTCTAGGTTTGAGCTCAGCATAGCCATTTACCACCTGGATGGTGTAGCTTTTCAGAACCTGGCTTTTCCTCATTTGTATAACAGGACTAATCCTCTACAATGTGGCCATTATACACTATTGAATCCTAGCTATACATCTTTTTAGATCTGAGTCTGACTAAGGGATTTCCACTTATCCCTATTAAAATATATATCAAAGTCAGGAAACGGTGGCTCATGCCTGTAATCCTATTCAGGAAGTAGCTATAGCAGCAAAAAGTTTGCAAGACCCCATCTCAACGATTACCTGAGTATGGCGGTATATGCCTATCATCCCAAAGTATAAGTAGGAGATTGGGGTCCAGGCTGGTCTGGACAAAAAGCAAGCACTTGTTTCAAAAGTAAGAGCATAAGGGCTGGGAGTACAGCTCAATCAGTACAGCACCTGCCTAGCAACCATATCACTACATGAGCCTGATGGTAGGTTATTTGGTAGTATTGGGATTTGAAGTCAGTATTCTGTGCTTGCTAGTCACATTTTCAACTTACCCTTAATAACTCCCAGATATGGTTATGGCATTGCTATCTCCCTCTGCCCTGTTCTCTCACTCTGGGCTTCAAGTGATCTCTGCTGATAATTATTTCAGCCCATGTTGCAAAGCTCAATAGAAGCATAGGTTTTAGAAGTTTTGGAGCAAACCTCAAGCCTGATCTTTGTGGTACTGTCTTTGTAATAGGACATACATTTTTCGGAAAGGCAAGAAGGATTTCTGAGTCTAAGAACCTAAAATTCTACAGCTGACAGTTCGGAACATCTTTGGAAGGAAATGCATAATCCATGACCAGACCAGAATATATTGAGAAAATAATTTATTGAAAAGGAGAAATTTAAAAAAAAATGTTTAAGTATTATCATTAACAAGGCTCTGAATTTTTTCCATTGATGATTTAAAGAATTTTAAAAATCAAGAAATTCCCTCACAATTCCTTTAGCCTTTTTTTCTAAACTTCCACGGTAGATAATTTCTTTGGTTCAAGACTTCAATCATTAATCACAACCTACTCTAGACAGGGTCCACCACAACCTGTATAATGAAGAAACAAGATCTTTAACTGGTATGTGATCTCTATTTTCTTTTTCAAAGCCCACTAATTCAGGAGGGGTTTTTTTTGGGGGGGGGAGGTATTGGAAATGTGATTTCATTCATTCACTCATTCCTTCATTTGGCAAGATTTAAGAGTTAGGAGGCAAAGTGAAATGGTAGAAAAAAAATGTAAGCTTCATTTTTCTCAAGCCTTTTGCTCTAGTCATCAAGCCAGTGCAAAGGCTCTTCAAATACACTGCGTGAAGATGAAAACAAATGACCTAAACTGGGATATAAGGAAAATATAAATATATATGCAGGTGTATATGTTGCCTGCCAACTTTCTGTATGTTGATTTGCTGATCTTAATACATAGAATGTCACTGCTTCTCTTAGAGAAGGTGATTGAATGCTCAACTGCTCAGTCATGACAACTGGGCCCTCCCATTGCTATTCTTCATGCTTTTGTCACAAAATCAATTAACCATTTTGTCCAATAGATCTGGTTGCTTATACTTCTGTAGTGCAGATGAGAGTAGGAGAAACGGACATCTTTTGATGGCAGGACTTTATCCTCATACCAGCTCTCCATGTTGAGGCATGATGGGCTAAAGAACCCTGAGGTTTCGAGCAGGTAGCAGAATCAGCGGATAACACATTGTCTTCTGATGAAGCCCAGCTTCTTGAAGGCCTCTGTATTCTGACACCATCCACTTCTCCTCACCAAGTGACTGAACACTAGTCTGGTGGATTGAATATGACTTAGGCAAAACAAGAAGTACCTTCCATTCAGATCCCTGCTCTGTCAGTCATGGGGTTGAAGAGGCTGGAGGTCACCCACATGCCCTGTGCCACTTAAGTGACAAGGCTCCAGGGTGTTCAACCCCTCTTTCCCCACTCTTTCTGTTTGCTATTTCCTGGAAAACACAAAGTTGAGGCTTTGTTTTCATGTCAAGCTGGGCGTCCACTGGTCCATTCAGATTCCCTGGGACTCTCAAGATGCACAGCCAGGATTTCTCCATTGGGAATCTACCCATCTTTTGCACAGAAGCCACACAATATTCTGATGAGCAAAGGACATGGACAACTCATGACTTGAAGCAATCAGTTTTGAAGCCTTTGAGGATTGCCAATGTAGATAGCATCCTTACTAAAAGCTCTCTTGCCACAGAGCAACTTTATGTTGCTTTAGACCCCTCAAAAACAGGAAGACACTGAAATTAATGCTCTTCTCCTTACCACCCCCCACCCCCCACGCCAGCCATAGCTCACTGTCAAACACTTTCCTTGCTACTTTGTTCTCTGATATGTTTACCTGACATGAGTAAAGTGTTCTGGCTTTTTCTTTGCCTGTGGCAAATTCTTTTTGGTTCAGCTGATAGTATTTCCCCCAATCTATTATAGATAAGAAATCACTGGGAAATTTACATCTGATTCACTGAGGCTCAGAGTTATAAGGCAGAATAGCATGATTTTGCCACGTGGATGTTTCTGTTAGTGATTATAAAAGTAAAATTTCTGAGGAATTAGCCAGAATGATCCTCTCTCAAATTCAGAAACCCATCAGCACAATGTAAAATCAGACATTATTCCTGACCACACTATACTCTTTTGTTTGCCAAGCTATCTTGACAGTTTTAATATCTGTTGGCAGACCTATATGATAATCCCAGCAGTATTCTGGAGATAAGATTTTAGTGGGTTTATTGAGAAGGAAATATTTGTTTAGGTGGCTCTCATCATGCCACTCAGCTTCTATGTCATTTTTCTTGTCCTGGAGGATTCCTTTAAAGCACTCCTGGGTGAGGTTGAGAACCTGAATGGGTGTTCCTCCAAAAATAGCTGCATGGTAATAAAAATCCCCTTGTCCAAATGGAATGTATGCTGCAGACTCCTCCCGCCTCTCATAGGTAAACTTATCAGGATCCTCCTTGTACCACCAGGCCTGGAGCTGAGCCACCAACTGGCCCAAAGTCTCCACACCAAAACTGTCTTGGAAGGTCTGGTCGACATCCATACAGAAGAGGAAGTCAACCTCATGTTGGATGTGGGTTGAAATATGTTCCCCAATGGTCTTCATGCGCATCATGCTGATATCCTGCCACCTCTTCTCAGGCTTAATCTCAAACACTTTGAGGGAACGCAGAGGATCCAGCTTTATCAAAGGCATCTGGGACACATCATCCACCATGATATAAAAGATGACTTTGTGGCCCACCATGAAGTACCTATTAGCAGATATTATGAACTCTTCCAAGTAGTGCTCAATGTATCTGAAACAAAGAAGAAAAGGAAAACATTTTATCTTTGGATTCTTATAGGCTATCTCATGCTACTATAATCTCATAATCTAAATTTTATAATTAAAAAGGGAACCATTTCTCCCCAACCCAGATGGGTATTCTTTGTGGAGAGACATTTGTGAGTGTAACACTCCTGCTTACTCAATACCAGTCATGTCACTTAACTCTTAGGGAAGTGGAATGATTTATCTAGCTGCCAATTTTGGAAGAGCCACTGGGCATGCACAACCCTGTCCTCTTGCTCTTGGAAGCCAGCCAGCCTGAGAGAGCATGTATTCTCAACTGTTCTGCCTTGCAATTAGCTTAGTGGTACAGACTCTATTCCTGTATCTGGAAGTATGGAGTTTCTAATGTTGTAGATGGCTGGGTGTCTGAGTCCTTCTAATTCTGTGGTTCAGTTGTTAGGATGTTCAGGGCTTACAGATCCAAATGTCAGCTTTAATTGTAAGAGAGGTGATATTTATGATAATTTCGAGGATTACGGTTCAAAGCCAGCCCAGGCAGAAAAATTCATGAGACTCTTATCTCCAATTAACTGCCAGAAAACTAGAAGTGGTACTGTGGCTCAAGCAGCAGAGCTCTCACTTTGGGCTGAAGAGCTCAGGGACAATGCCCAGGCCCAGAGTTCAAGCCCCACAACTGACAAAAACAAACAAACAAACAAAAACACCCAAACTATACCTCAGCATTTCTACTGCCAGATCAGATGTAAAGGTGACATGAGCCTTGAGACCACTTCCCTATCTTGTCTACCTCTATTTTTGGCTAAGCCCAACCATCAGCATTATCTCTTCCTCCTCTTTGATGCAGAGAATGGGGCCTGGACATGGAACTCCTTCCACATAGCATGGCCATCCTGCAAGTCTCCTATGGTCACCCCAAACACTAATTCATTAACCAGAGATAGCCCTTATAAATTCATCCAAATGCTAAAGCAAAGATTTCACCTTACTTAAACTATTTTTTTGTATTTAAAAATAAAAATAAAGGGGCCAAGGATGAGGCTTGGTGGTACACTGCTTACCTAGTGTGTATGAAGCCCTGGTTTCGATTCCTCAGTATCACATCAAGAGAAAAAGCTGGAAGTGGCACTGTGGCTCAACTGGTAGAGTGCTAGCCTTGAGCAAAAAAGAGCTCAGGGACAGTGCCCAGGCCCTGAGTTTAAGCCCCAGGATTGGCAAATAAATAAATAAATATAAAAATAAAGCAAAAATAAAAATAAAAAGCTAGTTGCTACTGGCTCATGTCTGTAATCCTAGCTAGTTAGGCAGCTGAGATCTGAGGATTGAGTTTTGAAGCCAGCACAGGCAGGGAAGTCCAAGAGACTCTTATCTCCAATAAACTGTACAGAATAAGCCAGACATAGCACTGTGGCTTGAGTTATAGTGCTGTGGCCTTGAGCAAAAGAAGCTCAGGTATAGCACCCAGGTCCTGAGTCTAATCCCCAGGACCAGCACATACACACATACACAAAAGATTTTCTACCCAAAGGAAGTCCTGATAGTTACCAGAATTTGAGGGTAGGCTTCACCCACTTTAACTACCCAGAACCATTATCTAAGGATTAGGAGTTGCTAGATGACAGGACCATATGTTTTCTTTTAGCTCAGTAAGCATAAAGGCTACAGACAGGACCCACCATTTTTAGTTCCAAATTTCTATTTCCTGTCTGAGGAAAGGGACATGTTTTTCTCTGTTTTTTTATATTTCTCCCTACTTTATCCTGAAATACTCAAATAAATCCTTACTAAACTTTTCTTTTTAAGTCTGAGACCAGGATTCAAACTTAGTACCTGATGCTTTCACCCACTGGCTAGAGCTCTATCAACTCAGCCACACTGCCAATCCCTAAACAGTTTTTAAAGATGGTTAAAAAACAGTTTGAGGTTCATAGCAAAACCGAAATTATTGAGAAAAAGTATTGAGCTGAAAGTATTGAGAATTCCCATGTGCCTCCTGCCTATATTTATGCACTGCCTCCTGCCATATGCCTAAAACAGAATGATAAGTTTACTAGTCAACAAACTAGTACACTACTATTTCCAAAGTTCAGAGTTTGTATTAGCATTCTGCAATTTTGGGAAAATGGAAAATGACATGTATCTACCATTATAACGGTATCAGACTAGTTTTACTACCCAAAATTCCTATATGCTGTTCCTGTAGTTTTGCCTTTTCAATAATGTCATAGTTATAAACGCTTTTCAGATTGGTTTATTTCACTTATTTGTATGCATGAAAGACACATGCCTGTCTTTTCATGGCTTGATAGCTCATTTTTTTTAGCACCAAATATATCCTATTGTCTGAATATTCCACATATTTCTTTTCCATTTATCTGTCAGAGGACAAGTCAGTTCTTTCCAAGTTTTGCCAATTTTGAATAAAACTTCTAAAAATATCTGTATGCGGGTTTTTGTGTAGACATAACTTTTCAACTCATTTGGATAAATGTCAAGAGTATGATTGCTAGGTTATGATAAAAGTTGGCTGAATTCTGTAAGAAACTATTGAACTTTCTTTCAAAGTGGCTATACCAAGGTTCTTATCTCTTCATTCTTGATGTGTTTCTTTTAAATTTTGATTATTTTAATAGGCATCTGGTGACATTTTGACTCTTTATTCAAACAATACTATATCAAATATCATTTTGTATATCAGTACTGGGGCTTTAACTCTGGGCCTGGGCACTTTTGTCTAGCTTTTTACTAAAGGTTAGTGCTCTACCACTTGAGCCATACCTCCATTTCTGGCTTTTTTTTTTTTTTTCCTGGCTAACTGGAGATAATGGTCTCAAGGACTTTCCTGGCTTTGAACTTCAATCCTTAGATCACTGGCTCCTCAGTAGCTAGGATCATAGGTATAAACCACGGACACCTGAACATAAGCTACACACTGTCTTTGTGAAGCCATGAATGCTATAAGAAGAGGAAGAAGTTGGATGGCTAAATTCAATTCGTTCAAACTTAAAACACATGCCCAGTGAATATGGACGGAACACACTACCTGCCGATCATGATGTTTTGAAGATAATAACAACTGGCATTTTTTTCCCTTGCTATTTGGATTTCCTTTCTTCGCTTGCAAAAAAAAAATAAGAAGAAAATGTGCTTTTGTTGTCCACACCTAGAAACCCCAGGGTTTATAGCATTGGTTCCTTAAAGGAATAGAATATACCTGAGTACTACAGAGATTTTTGACATGGCTTAGGGCCAGAACATTATTCTGTACTCTGGAACTTTAAGAAAAATCTAGTGTTTTCTGGAACTTGGGAGACAATACTGGAATGGGTGTTGATATGGCAATGTGAGGTTTAACGCTATTTAGATATTAGAGCACTGCAGTCAGCTCAGTGCATTGTTTGAAAATAAACGAAGCATCATACCTCCTAAAGGTCCAAATCCACTTTAATGCTGCTCATTACAAACAGTCCTCTTTTGTAAAAGGTGAAAGATTTATACCGTCAGAAGAGAAACCAGAGTATAAACAGTCCTCTTTTGTCTGGGAGCTAAGAGCACAGTTTCACAAGTATGTGCAATCTACAAAGTTTTGTTGTTGTTTTTTCTGCAGAGTTGCAATTGGGTAGGTAGTTGATGCCCCTGTTCATAAGTGAACGATGTTCTGTTATTTTTGGAAAAACCAGGATCAAATGAATCTATCTGCACTGCAACATAGCTGGCCTGTCCCCTTTTATATCAATTGATTAGGTGAATTAAGCACTTGCTCCCATGTTGCAGATGTTTTTGCCTGAAACCCAAGACCTACCTTCTGAGGTAGGGGTATGTGGACTCACCTACTGGTTGCCATTTAGGTCTCTGCGGAAAAGACACTGAAAGTGCCTTACTTGAAGGTTCTCTTATCTAGAATTCAGGTAAATCATAGATAGCTTTTATGAAGCTGTCCTTTTCCTGACAATGGAACAAGAAAAAACAAAGGACAACTTTACCAGTGACACCTACCTTCCAACAGCAAAGACTGTCAACCCCACAGTGATTTCTTGTTTGGCATAGTACTTTTCTAGGATATCTCTATTGTAAGTCCCTTCCCACACAACGGGTGCATTCCAGTGGGTCACCGTCACAACCTCTGGGCGTTTCCTGGTGATGAAAACATACAGCCCTGTGAGTCAGAAGCAGCTCTGCTAAGGCAGGGCAAAGACTGCAAGAAAAAAAAATGGACCAACTCATGTGCCTCTGAACCTATTCCGGAGGGTCATGTAGGACTTTTTTTTTTTTTCCTTGCCAGTCCTGAGGCTTGAACTCTGGGCCTGAGTGGTATCTCTGAGCTTTTGTGCTCAAGACTAGCACTCTACCACTTCAGCCACAGCTCTACTTCTGGCTTTTCATGGTTAACTGAAGATAAGAGTCTCATCGATTTTTCTGCCTAGGCTGACTTCAAACTGCTGTCCTCCGATTTTAACCTCCTATATAGCTAGGATTATAGTCATGAGCCACAGGCTTGAGCCACTGGTGCCTGGCACATATGGGACTCATACTTCATACGCTCTTCTTTCTTCTCCTACTGTATTTGTTCTCCTCTTCCTTCTGAATATCTTTCCCTTTTTCCCTAGTCTGTAAGCCATCCATGGCATCTCTTGGTTGTTATTTAGCTCTGTGGATGTCATCTGGGCCTGAGAAGATTCTAAATCTTGGTGTAGAGAGATGAGAGAAAGACAACAGAGTTGAAAGAGAAAAGGGATAATTTGCTTTGATCCTGAAAGAGATTTTCTGGGTAAGAACCTGATTGTTGGCCAAAGGGGCTCCATATTAATGGAAATCCTGGTGTTACAATAAATGGTAAGGAAGCCAGAATTGATAGGACTCAATATAAGCGCAAGGAGGACAAAGCTGGAACACAGTGTCCCAGCAAAGACCCCTCTCCTTAGACCATGTTTTTGTTGTGGACACAAAGTGAGAAGGAAGTAAAGAAATATGGTTTCTGTAGACAGAAAACTTGAAAGGGATGCTCCCAGGCTAACACAAACACAGGAAGCTACCTAGGAGCACCTATGAGCACGGACTGTGATGGGGAAATACAGAAAGGATGGAACAGTATCAGGACCCAGCAGAGAAGGAGCTTGAGAGGGAATAAGCTGGTAGCAACTCACCCTGTACCCTATGTGCTCAAGAAGAACTTGTACTTCCCTCTTGGGAGGCAAAAACCAGTGCACGGTCACTGAGAGTTATCCTGCAGTCTGGGCCTGGCCTCTACCTGGCTTTTGCTAGTGCTTTTCTGGGGTAGCATCATGGCTTAACCCCAGTAAGTCAGGCAAGTGACTAGGCAATGTCTGGTCCCAGCTGGCTGTGCTCATACAGCCCTGCTGAGACTGCCTGGGAGACCGGTGGGAACACTGCATAGTTTGCAGCAGCCTGAGGTGTGAGCCCTTAGCCTTATTCTCTCCCACAGCATCCAACCTGAGCTCAGCCAGATGGGAGCATCAAAACTGCCCCAACGGTGCTTCTAGCCCTGTAACAACCCAGCTTAGTTGAAATGACAGGATTTCAAGCCACAACATAGGAATAAGTAAGCACATATGGCATATTCTTCTCTGACCAATGTTTTTAACTTAAATTCTCATGTATTGCTAGCTGTTTTATTGTAGTGCTAGTTTCAGCCTGTCAAGGATCTTTCAGTAGTTCCAAAACAGCCCATTAGCTAAGTCTTACTTGTTCTGTATGAGCCACACATTTGGTAAGCAGATTAAAATTTATTTATTTATTTATTTAGAGAGAAAGAAAAAGAGAAGGAAAATATGAAAAACAGAAAGACCGAAAGAAAGAAAGAAAGAAAGAAAGAAAGAAAGAAAGAAAGAAAGAAAGAAAGAAAGAAAGAAAGGAAGAAAGGAAGGAAGGAAGGAAGGAAGGAAGGAAGGAAGGAAGGAAGGAAGGAAGGAAGGAAGGAAAGAAGGAAGGAAGAAAGAAAGAAAGAAAGAAAAAGAAAAAGAAAGAAAGAGAGAAAGAAAGAAAAGGAAGTTGGGAGCTGATGGCTCACACCTATAATCCTAGCAACTCAGGAGACTAAGATCTGAGGATCACGGTTCAAGGCCAGCCTGGGCAAGAAATGTCTATGAGACCCTGATCTCTAATTAACTACCAAAAAAGCCAGAAGTAGAGCTATGAATCAAGTAGTAGAGTTCTAGCCTTGAGCAAAGTAGTTCAGGGACAGTGCCCAGGCCCTGAGTTCCAGCCCAGAGACCAGCATAAAACCAAAATGAATGAATGAATGAAGGAATCTTAAGAAAGAAAAGGAGGGCAGGCATACTTAACTCAATATGCATCTCAAGCTCAGTACATAGCTTTCAGCTCCTCACTCAATCTCCATGCCTCACCTATGGAGCTATGTCACCACCCCATTCTACAAAGTGAGGCTAGGAAAGGAAGAGGAGGGAGCTTTGGGCCATTTAATTTCTATGAAGAGCCAAACTGGGACTAAGCATTAGGCTGACAGAAATGGGACCCAGTGTGTGACCAATCTGCCATAAACCCCTTAGCTGTAGGACAAATCAGGCCATATCTCCTAGATGTGTCCACATCAGTTACTTGGATAAGTCGGACTCTTCCAAGTAGGAAGAGAAAATAGCAATATATTTTTTAAACCTTATGTTTAACTAAAAATCAAAATGTTCTCTCTCCCAGAAGTTAATTATTCAATTCCTCTGACAATTCCAACATAGGAACAACCCTGACTAAGAAGCCAGACAATAGCCTAGAAAAGCAAGCAGTGAAGAGGGGACAGGGGGAGGGGAATAAAAGGCTGAAACCAACTTCCTGGATGAACTTCTGCATCAAAGAGTTTAGTCATTTAAAGTCAAAACAGAAATTATCCAGGGCAGCCCACATATGTGAAGATGCTCATCTATGACAATGTTAACTGTCTGATATCCAAGATCACCAAGATGGGGCTCTGAAAAGGGGAACAAGTACCAGGAAAGAACTGTTCAAAAGCATTCCTTCCTAACAGAACACTCAACTGTGTGACCTCAGCTTGGCCAGTACAGGCCAAAGGCTTCCTGAAAAATAAGAGTCTCTGTAACTAAAGTACACATGCCTTTAGGCTGTTGTTAACTTTTCTATTTTATTCATGGGTACATTGTGATACTCAACAATTGGTTAGAGGAAGTCTTAAAAACTCTATGAATCACTCAATAGGTTAAGAAATATACAACGTTCATCATTCATTAAGATACAATGTGCTAGATTAAATGAGCCAGCAAAGAGCTGGTGGCAGCACAAACTAGGACTGTGGCTGTGGAGAAAGGAAGGATGTGAGAACGTTTTGGGAGCAAGTATTGACTGTGGTTTAGACAAAAGAAAAGGTCTCCCAGACTCTAGCTCGAGCTATTTCCTGACGTGGGAAATGAGAACAAGGGTGGGGTACAATTGAGGAATCCATCTGGGACATGTGAGATATTCAGGGATGGCAGGCAGGCAGGCAGGCGGGCGGGCGGGCAGGTAGACACAAGTCAGGGTTCCTAGGGAAATATGTGGAGTAAAGGCACAAATATGAGTCATCCACTCTAGGTGGTATCTAATGTCATGGGAGTGAATGGGAACAGAATGGAAACTGGCATAGGAAAAAGAGATGACAGGCCATCTTCTTAACCCTGTTGAAATTTTTGATGGCCAGGAAGACAGAAACCCCTTTACCAAGGATGTTGAGAAGGGGGAATGGAGGGGAGAGAAATGAGGCTGTAGAGTCAAAGAAGCAAAGAGATCTTAATGTAGAAATATGTGCACAAAATAAGTCTGAGGTAGTTTACAGAAAAGGATAAACTGATATTATGTATAATATGTTGATTTACCCATTCATTCTTGCATACAATGATTGGTGTAGGCAAGAAATAAGACTTCCTTGAGAAGGTTTTAATTTTGTATTGGATCAAATCAAGACTCTTTAAATATCTTCTTGCCTTGTATTTGGAGGTAAAGCTAAGCCATTTGTAGGAAAGAAAAGGGTGAAAGAAGTTGGCCATGGTCTCTCTCTCCCGTCTCCCCCTATGAATTCAGCTCTGGCCCTCCCACAGAAACACAGGCCCTTCTTGGCTTGGGTGCCAGTGGCTCATGCTTGTACTCTTAGCTACTCAGGAGGCTGAAATCTAAGGATCATAGTTCAAAGTTAGCCTGGGTACATCATAACTGAAAAAGATTTGCCATATGCATGTTTGATGAGCAAATTCATGACCTCATGAGATTTTTTTTCTCATCATTTCTATTTCATGGATGATTTTAATGAAATCTTAGCACTTTCTTCCCACAACTCAAGATCCTATGGCTTTCTATAACACCTATGGCCAGTAAGGCCCATTCCAGCCCCATTATTTTGTAATTCACCTACAAAGCTAATGACTACTCAGGTTATTATCAAGTTACTGTCAGAATCTTATCTTAACTGAATCCAAGCCACTCAGGAGTGTGAAAACTAAGAATCCTGTCTTGAGAAGAAAAGCCTGGGAGGCTTTTTCTCCAACTGACTGGTAAAAAGCTAGAAGTGGGGTTGGGAATGTGGCCTACTGGTAGAGTGCTTGCCTAGCATTCATGAAGCCCTGGGTTCCATTCCTCAGTACCACATAAACAGAAAAAGCCGGAAGCAGTGCTGTGGCTCAAGTGGCAGAGCACTAGCCTTGAGTAAAAAGCAGCTCAGGAACAGTACCCAGGACCTGAGTTCAAGCCCCAGTACTGGCAAAAAAAGAAAGAAAAGAAAAGAGAGGAGAAGAGAAGAGAAGAAAGCTAGAAGTGGCCAGACATCTATGGCTTACCCCTGTAATCTTAGCTACTTAGGAGGCTAAGATCTGAGGATCAAGGTTCAAAGTCAGCCTGAGCAAGAAAGTCCATGAGACCACCAAAAAAGCCAAAAGTGGGAGCTGTGGCTCAAGTAATAGAGTACTAGCCTTGAGCAAAAAATGCTTAGGAACAGCACTCAGGCCCTGAGTTCAGGACTGGCACGTGTACACACACACACACACCTCTAAAAGTGGAGGCTTGGCTCAAATGTTGATAGAGTGCCTGCTTTGAGCAAAAATTGCAAGCAAGAGTGTGAGTCTCTCCAGGTGTTGGTGGCTCACGCCTATAATCCTAGCTATTTGGGATGCTGAGATCTGATGACTGTGGTTCAAAGTCAGTTCTGACAGGAAAGTCCTTAAGACTTTTATCTCCAATAAGCTACTCAGAAAAAGCTAGAAGTGGTACAGTGGCTCAAAGGGGTAGTATGTTAGCCTTGAGTAAAATTGCTCAGGGGCAGCACACATGTCCTGAGTTCAAGCCCCATGACCGACCAAAAAAAAAAAAAAAAAAGAGGGTGAGTTTCTACATTCAAGTCCCAGTACATCTAACCCAACCTACACCCCCCCCCCCCCAAAAAAAATTATGGCATTATTATCAGATCTCAGTTTCTTGTCAAAGCCATTGCTTAAGGTCTAATACAAGTGAAGACTTTCTCCCAGTAAGGAGTGTGTTCAGTGGCACTCAGGGCACCTGCAGTGCCCAACCTCCTGCAAGCTAAGGACTCACTGCACACGGAGAACAAGCATTCTCTTCTTACTTTGGATCAAACCAGTCTTGCAGCTGAAGCTCCTTTTCTCTACCGTGTTTTATGTCCTCTTCCCCTTCTTGATAACTGTGGATTGTAAGCGCAAAGAGAAAACAAGGTGTGTAAGGAGGGAGATCTGGGATGATAGGACAGTGGGGTACTGTCTCAAGACATATCCTAGCCAGGTGCTGGTGGCTTATACCCATAATCCTAGATCTTAGGCTCACCGTTCGAAGCGAGCATGGACAGAAAAGTCCTTGAGACTCTTACCTCCAATTAACCATCAAAAAGCTGTTGGTAGAGCTGTGGCTTCAGCGGTAGAGCACTAGCCTTGAACATAAAAGCTCGGGGGGGGGGGGGGGGGGGAATTTGTTCCACCAGGAACTCTAAGCATTATTCATACTTCAGATGCAAAGGCACTGTGTTCCCCTCTAGCATCACTCATCCAATCAGCAGCTAGTGATTTAAGGACCCAGGTTATCTCAGGGGTTGGAGAGGACTTGTTAAAGCAGTCCTCTTAAGGACATTACTGTTGTCTTTTCCGAAATTTAAATTTTCAGCCCTCATGTCACCCTTCACTGGACAAAGAAAAAAACATCCTAATCCTACCTGTACAATAGATTCCTTATAAAATTTCCGTAAGCAAGGAAGATAAGGAAGGGAGAAGGTCACGAATATGAAATTCATAGACCATAAAAGAATTGGATTTTCTTCAAGTGTTGGGTGGATAGACAAACACACTCTGCCACCGCCTGCTATTGCCTTACCCATTGTTAAACCAGCTTGGAAACCACCAGTCCTGAACGCTGCTGGCATCAACTTCTGGGTTTCTAAAAAATGAAAAAGAATATAAACATTGTCAGAAAATGAAGCATTCACCACACTGGAATGGGGAGGGGTGTTCAAAGCTTTTTTTAAATAGCAGAGATGACTACTTTTAAATAGCTAACTTGAAGCAGCCAATTCATAACAGAATTTAAAACCCTCTAGATGAATGAAAAGCACAGACCAGAAGCTTTCCCTCTCCCCTAAGCAGCCCCAGCAGGGCAAGGAGAGAAAAAGGGAGTGACTGGCGAGTCAGCAGCAATACAAAAGCCTGAGCTCCTGATCTGCTACTTGCTAACTGTGTGACTAAAACAGGCCATTTTCCTTCCTGGATTTCAACTTTGTCCTCTGAAAGGTAGTAGTTTGGTGATGATGATGATGGTAATGATAACCTACCATGAAGATAATTTTGAAGATTGAATAAGAAAGCGTAATATAAAAGCCTGATAAACTGAAAATTACCGTAACAAGCTGACATCTTAGTAAAAATAAGTACATTTCTAAGAACCATCTCTTCTTCAAAATTATGAGCATCCAAGTTGCTACAAAGGTCAGCTTAGGAATATTCCACTGGCCCAAAGGTCACCAGTGACAGCTTGGAAAATCTGAGGGTTGCTGAGCAAGACCTTTAGGAACCTGTCATTAGAAGCCACCTTAGCCATTCACTTAAGAGAGCTGCCACACTCTCTCACTGTGACACTGTGGGGAGCTTCTGGAGGAGAAGAGAAAGGGGAAGTCAGCCATACCATGTTCTTCAGTTGGTATAGATAAGGTGGCAAGGTAACTCTGAGAAGGCTTAATATTAAGAAACTCGTGTGTGTATGTGCGTGTACATGTATGCGCGCCAATACTAGGGCTTGAACTAAGGGGCTCACTCTCTTATTTGGCATTTTCACACAAGGGTGGTACTTTACCTCTAGAGCCACACCTCTGCTTCCAGCATTCTGGTGGCTCATTGGAGATAAGAATCTCACTGCTGAGTAGCTAGGATTATAGGCACTAGCCACCACTATCCAGCAAGAATTTTTTTTTAATTTTAATTAATTAATTTATTTTATTTGCCATTCCTGAAATCAGGGCCTAGGCACTGTCCCTGAGCTGCTTTTTGCTCAAGACTAGCACTCTACCACTTGAGTCACAGTGCCACTTCCAGCTTTTTCTTGTTTATGTGGTACTAAGGAATCAAACCCAGGGCTTCATGCATGGTAGGGCAAGTACTCTACCACTGAGCCACCTTCCCAGCTCAACCTTTTATTATTATTATTTATTTATTTATTTTGTCGGTTGTGGGGCTTGAACTCTGGGCCTGGGCACTGTCCTTCAGCTCAAGGCTAGTGCTCTACCTCTTGAGCTACAGCACCACTTCTGGTTTTCCGGTGGTTAATTGGAGGTAAGAGTCTCATGGACTTTTCTGCCCAGGTTGGCTTTGAACCTTGATCCTCAGAACTCAGCCTGCTGAGGAGCTAGGATTACAGGCGTGAGCCATCAGCACCCGGCCCCTTTTTTTATTTTTAGAGTCTTGCTATGCTGTTCAAGCCAGTTTCATACTCATCAACTCAAGCAATACTGCCACTTCACCTGCTAGCTGAGATTACAGGCATGTGTCATTACATCTGGCTAAGAAATCTGTTTTAAAGTTCATTTACTTTCAGGAAGAATTTAAAATGACTTTTGATAGAGGTATAGTTATACTAACCAGAGAAACAACACAAGAGTAAACACCCCTAAAACAGTGACTTGGCTGCCCAAGTATGAATTTTCTTACGATCTTGGTCATCCCAAATAAGGTTTACTTTCCTTTTCATTTTACAGCAGAATATTGTCTGAGTAGGTTTAAGCAAGTTCCCACGGCTCCACGCCATATGAGTATAAGAATCAGGATGTAATAGGAAGAGATAAATTATATTAGAAATCACACTAAGGCAAATACAAGCAGTTAAGAACAATACTTTGTGCTGAGCTTCCTGGAACCAAGCCAAAGGTAGGAAAATAAAAGTTTATATAGCTCTGATTGTTTTACTTTAAAAAAATTGTTTTAAACAATGACACATGGTAGTAGTCTGTCATGAGACTCAGGATTTTTTTTTCCCTGATTCATATTCTCAGAGCAACTTTTGTATAGTTCTTTAGGCAACATATTCAGGGCAGAATAATGGAAAATATCTTCCCAGATTGTTTTTTTTATCACTTAGACAGCAATATTTCCAAAATGACACCACATAAAGGAACCCTTGATAGAACCAACATCAAAATGTAAGTCATGCTTCTATAAACTGGGGCTGGAGAAATACAGTTCTGATCCCCAATAGCCAACTCCACAGGTGCATGCTGTTCGCTCCCACTTCAGCCTGAGTACCATCACTGGCTGGAGTGTGAAGGATCAGCAGGATTGGGGTGTTTGCAAGAATAGATGTGGGAGATAGCCAATAGATACCTAGAATTCAAGACACTTACTTTGAGTGATATATCCACAAGAAGGAGCCTTCTGGGCTAAAAACAAACAAGAAATAAAAGCATCATGTTACTTTTATTCTGAGAAAGGCTCTTCTGCCAACAGCCTTACTGAGCCCCGATTGGGCTGAGAACTAGGTTTTACCTGCTGCAAGCAGGTAATCAAGGATAAAGGTGTCTGGGAATTTCTAGTTGGGGTTACTTCAGGCTCTCCAGAGGAAGGGAGTATCTGGAGAATTTCACACCTTTTGTTTGTTTAAGACTGCTGGCTGGAAGTCAGGCCCTCTTCTGCTACCTATTCACAGGTACCTGATAAAAGAGGAGGCTCTGGAGGGGGAAACACCAAGGCCCAGGCTTCCCTATTGAGTTTATCTCCCTCTAGAAAAGACAGCATCAAATGAAGAGCCAAAAGCTCTATGTTGCTAAAAGCCTTCTGTAAAGTGGTACCCAAAGACATCTTGACCAACTAAGGCAGGGAGACTGTCTTGAAGCACCTACAAGGCTGGACCAGGATGATGACTCCTTTGGAGTATCATCTCTATTCAGTTATTCTATAAATATTTGATAGGAAAGTGCTATACACCAACTGCTGGGATATACCGCTGGCCAGGACAGATAGTCCTCATCCTTGTGGGACATAGGATAAGGCAAGCAGAGCGTATTCAGGTAATCACCCAGCTATGTGACTTCATATTCCAAGTATGAGAAAGAAAAGATATTAGCAGGCATGAAAACATCTCTAGAATTTCCAGAAGAGTTGATATTTTAGCTGGAATCTGAAGGATAATTAAGGGTTCACCAAGATGAAGGAAAGAGTGAAGAGGAATGTCCCAGGCAGAGAAAACAATATGCAAAGGCCCTGGGGTGGGAAAGGAGGCACCTACAATGAAATTAGAGAGAAGTAGCTAAAGACTAGAGCTTTCTGGGACCTACTGGAGATTTGCCCTTGAGTTTCAGCCGGGGTGAGACAGGGTCTTGTGTGCATCCGAAAAAACAACAACAACACTGGAAAACAGAGTGCAGGGAGCACAAAGTAGGTGTGGAGAACCACTAGGAGGTAGAGGTAGTGGTCCAGTGGTCCAGCCGCAGAGCATGAGGACACTGACCGGAGAGGCATTTGGGGAAAAGTGTAACAACAGTTGGTATCACACTTGAGAACAAGTTCTAAGCCTCACCTAAAGCTCTAAAGTTCCTAGTTCCTAAATCAGCTTAGCGACTCTGACTGATGATATTCATAACAGGAAGTACTCAGCTAGATACTGTCCTAGGCAGCTTACAGCTTAAGAAATCCTCTCATCAGAGAAGTGGTTTCTGTTTATCACCTCAGTCTATAGATGTGGAAAGTGCGGCACATGGGCATGAAGTGGTTCTTCCCAAGGGAGGAGTAGAAATTGTATGTGAAAATCTGAGTTCGAATCCTACAAGAGGAGGAGGAGTGGGCTGGGAAGGTGGCTCAGTGGTAGAGTGCTTGCCTTGCATGCCTGAGGCCCTGGGTTTGATTCCTCAGCACCACATAAGCAAAAAGAAAAAAGCCAGAAGTGGCGCTGTGGCTCAAGTGGTAGAGCGCTAGCCTTGAGCTGAAGAGCTGAGGGACAGCGCCCAGGCCCAGAGTTCAGGCCCCACAACCGGACCCCCCCCCACAAAAAAAAGGGAGAGGAGTAGGGGACAAAGGGGGAAGAAGACAGAAGATAAAGAACAAAGGGGTAGAGGACAGAAGGAGGAGGAGCATGGGGCAGAGAACAAGAGGAGTAGGAGACAGAAGCAGGAGGCGTAGGGGACAGAATAAGAACAGGAGGAGGACGAGGAAGAGGAGGAGGAGAAAGAGAAGGAGCCCTCCTTCCTTGTGGACCTCCTTTTCTGTGCTGAGTGCTGGGAAGGCTGTGTCAGCCAGGCTGAACTCCCCCATCCAGGGCATTATTACAATCTAGATGGATCAATAAATAACTAATATACTAAATAAATAAGTATACATAATTAATAATAGGAAGTAATATAAAGGATGTGGGGGTAGACCCAGAAACCTAAAATTTCCTAAACCTTGCATTTAACATTTTTGAGACTCAGTGTTCCTCATCTAAAAACTTGGGAGTAGCACCTACCTACACTTTGCAGTTCGATTATGAGAGCAGGAAACTTCTGTGTGGCCTGGGTCCTGGCACTCAGTAATCAATAGCTTCTATCAGCTATCATCTGCCATCACTACCACTGTCATTTTCTTAAAATAGTTACATTTTCTCCAGCTCTAAAATGCTAAGGTTTTTGTTTTTTTTTCAACCAGTCTCAAATTGAATGCTATCCTTGATAACATATTTTTAAGTGCCTTATTGACCAAATTTCTTCAAGTTACTAATTGGTACATGTGTTCGACTTATTTTTAAATCTTTTTGAGTTTGTGGTGAAGGTCAGTGTCCTCAGCTCATCTCAGGCTTCCCCAAGGCTAGCCTGTAAAAGTGGCAAAAGCTGCTTGCTCTCTTTGAGGCCTCTTACAGACAATAAAGTGATTCTGCATACAAGAGAATGCAGAATCTGGGTATAAGACAATGGCTCAGAAGGGCCATTGATGACCATTCATAAACAGCAAGCACACCCAGCACTGAAAAATAACCCTCTTCCTAAGAGGTAGATACCAATATGCACATTTGAAACTTTGGCTCCCATATTTTGGACCACTCAGAATATGGAGGTACAGCTGTGGTTACAACCCTAATCACCAAAGTTATGTAATCGAGTGTTGTTCAGGTTCAAAGCTTGAAGGCTATCTAAAAAGCATTCCAACTCCAGGTAGGAATCCCAAAGTGCACTTCCTCTTGAGGATACACCTGACTGCTAGTTATTCCTTCATTTGCCAAAGTATCCTGTGCTGTGTTGTCCTCTGAGCAGATGCTGCTGCTACTGCTGCCTGTTAAAGAGCGAATGTTTGAATCCCACCCCTCCAAATTTTGTATGTTGAAGTCCTGTTGCTCAAGTTACGGTAATTGGAGGTGGGGCCTCTGGGAGGTTATTAGGTTTTAAATGAGGTTATGAGGGTGGGATCCCATGATGGAATTAGTGACCTTATTAGAAAGAGACTAAAACTTGCTTGCTCTCTGTCATGTGTGCATAGGGGGAGAAAATGCCATTTGCAAGCCAAGTAAAGAGCCATCACGTGGGAATCAAATCAGCTGGTACTTTGATCTTGAATTCCCCAGCCTCTGGAACTGTGATAAATAAATTTCTGTTGTTAAAAGTTACACAATGTATGGTCTCTTGTTATGGTATGCTGAGCTGAGCTGAGCTTCCTCAGCTCTTGCATGTGAAAGGGAGTTCTAGGGTCCCTATCCCCAAATCTGAGTCATCTCTTCTTTGAACCAGTTTCCTCAATTCTAAAGACCTACTTTTCAGACTTTTAAAACTTGGTCACCTACTAGCTTGTCAAGTTTTTCTCAAAATTAGTCATTCAGAATGAAACATGAGAATATTCTAGAAGTGGTTAGACATGTGCCACACCTTAAGACTAATTAGTTCTGTGTTCTTCAGATTTCTCTGCTATCTATCAATGCACCTAAAGGTGTAGTTCCTTTTTTTTTTTTTTTTTTTTTGTAGACAAGACAGTCAAACTGGTTCATTAATTTACGAACTGAAAGAGATATTCAAATTGAGCTGGGAAGGTGGCTCAATGGTAGAGCGCTTGCCTTGCATGCATGAGGCCCTGGGTTTTATTCCTCAGCACCACATAAGCAAAAAGAAAAAAGCTGGAAGTGGTGCTGTGGCTCAAGTGGTAGAGCGCTAGCCTTGAGCTGAAGAGCTGAGGGACAGCACCCAGGCCCATAGTTCAGGCCCCATGACCAGACCCTCCCCCCCCCCCCAAAAAAAAGAAAGAAAGAGATATTCAAATATTAATCTAGGCAACCATCCTTGAATTCAGGCCACTGAAACATTTCACTAATGGTGTCATGACAGTTTTGTACAATTCAGTTATACAAGGAACTTCTTGAAGCTGAAAGCTAAGCTTTGCCGTAGACTCTTAAGTCAAAGCCAGGCTGTGGAGACTTTTAGGCTAGAATCCTCTACTGTGGTAATCTTTAAGGCACTGGAATTTCTTCAGAAAGCACAGAGGCGGCTCATATAGTTGAATCTACAGATGAGTTTGATCATTCATAAACATTTAATTCATTCTGTTTTTAAAAGCTGAGAGAGAGAGAGAGAGAGAGCTAATATTTCAGCGAGGCACAAATGAATCACTAGCAATTCAATGTGTATTTTTCCAGCAAAAGTCAACAACTTGAACTGCTCCTTTAAACTCTGCAAATATCTTACTGATTGCAAAACTCAGGATAGATTTCTCATGGAATTCCTGTCAGAAATATCTAAAAGGTGATTTTCGTATTGGATTACCACTACAAAAATGGAAAAAAAAATTTAAAATCAAGATAATAGGAACATAAGAGGAATTATGAATTCATTAGCCAGAAATTACTTGGAGAATCTGGTGATTTTTAAAGGCATTCTGGGGTTCAAGAATACAAGAATGATGGAAATTCTTATTTATGGTTTCTGTTAATCCTGATTTAATTCAATTTGGTAACTTGGCTGACATTAGTGAAATGGAATTAAAGCAGTACTTCCACCAACATAATTCCATCTTGTTCCATAATTACCTGTTGATATATTCCCAGAACACAACAATCACAGTCGAGACAACCAGCATCGACAGAATTACTTTTCCTTTGACATTCATTATTTTCTCCTAGAGGCAAAAAAAAAGTGGGGGTGGGGGAGAGAAGAGGTGGAAAATAGATTAAATGAAATCCAGAGCAAGAGATGGTTTTTAAAAATATTTCTTACCCATGTTCACTCTAGGAGATAAATTATGAGTATTGAATTAGAGCTGAGGAGTGTGTTTTACCTTTAATTGCATAAGCAGCCAAAATTAGGCAAACTCAATTAGCAGAGTAGGCTGCCTGTGTTGGGAAGGATGCCAAGAAAAGATCCCAACCCACCATAGATACAGGAAAGCTGTAAGTGGGTCCCCAGAACTCCAAGGAACTCCTGATTCAGATCACCTTATCTTATGACATGTGTCCTTGGGGAGCCACTCCCGAATCTCCTGCCCTTGGGTGACTGGCTACATGTCCTCTGCTCAGAGGAGAAAATGACTCTAGTGCTTTATGCTCTAGGTCTTGCCTACTTCCCAGCCCCACCCAGTTTACCCCCACTACATTCACAAGCAAGCAAACCCTCTGCACTCAAGGATACAGATAGTTTTACATTGCTTCATGAAATTGTGATAGAAAGGGATGCAGTATTGGGTGGGGAAGTTCTTCAGTTTCGTGGTCAAGGAAGACTTGCTGTGGAAGGGAAATTAAAGTTGAATACCAAAGAATGAGCAAAAGGTGAAAAAGATGAAACATTCTGCAAGATTATGTTGCATTATGTTGGCTTTCATCATCCCAGGCCCAGATACCAGACACCTACAGATCACCCATATAGCTTGGAGCCTGCCGAAAGTATTCCAACTAGCTAATTCTAAACTGTTCCTTTGCCATGCCTTGTCTTTCTCATGAAAACCCCAGTTAGGTTTCTGGCCTCATCCTTCCCTCCCCACCCCCCCCGCCCCGCTCACCCCAACACTACTACCCATCTTCCTTCTCTTGATGATCCTGAGGACTTTTCCCATGTGGTCTTGCGTACTGTGCCATGCCTCTTGTATTGAAGTCCTGTTAGCATAATAAACCTGGCTTCTTTTCCTGAGGCTCTTCCCTGTGTCCATCCTTGACCACCTGATTGACCATTGTATAAAAGAACGCAGAACAGAGTGCCAGTGGCTCATGCCTGTAATCCTAGCTCCTCAGGAGGGTGAGAGCTGAAGGTTGTGGTTCAAAGCCAGGACAGGCAGGAAAGTCTGTGAGACTCTTAACCACTAGAAAACCAGAAGTGGCATTGTGGCTCAAAAGTAGTACAGCACTATTAGCCTTGAGCGAAAAAGCTCAGGGACAGCACCCAGGCTCTGAGTTCAAGCCCCACAACTGACAAAAAAAATAAATAAAAAATAAAAAAATACAGAACAGTGACCTATGCTAAAAAGGAGACAGAGAAATGGCTAGAGGTAGGTTCAACCTAATTATACTTTGGAGGCAGACATAGATAAGAACTGCATGATCTGAATCACATGGAATCTAAAAAAGTTGGTCTCTTAAAAACTGCTTACCAATCTGGGTGCTGGTGGCTTGTACCTGTAATCCTAGCTACTCAGGAGGCTGAGATCTGAGGATCGAAGTTCAAAGCAGCAGGGGCAGGAAAGTCTGTGAGACTCATCCCCAATAAAACACTAGAAAACTGGAAGTGGCGCTGTGGCTCAAGTGATAGAGCGTTTGCCTTGAGCTGAAGAGCTGAAGGACAGCGCCCAGGTCCATAGTTCAAACCCCACAACTGACACAAAAAAAAAAAGGTTACCAGAGAATAGGCAAGAGGTAGAGACAGAAGAATGGGGAAAGCTGATAATGGATACTAGGCTATGATTAGATAGGAACAACGAATTCTGCTGTATTATTGCACTATCAGGGGACTACAGATAACAATATTGTACTGTACATTTCAAAAAGCAAGAAGAATCTTCTAAGTTTTCATATAGGAAATTTAAAACAAATGCTCGAGAAATATGTTTCACTTAAACATTACGCAAGGTATATATTGTATCAAAACCTTACATGGTACCCCATTAATATGCTTAATTTTTGTGTTATGTCTACTGGGAAAAATAAATTTAAGTGATTTATCTACTTTGTAGAAAGAGTTGTTAGGATGTGGCTGCTGGTTTTGGCATCAGGGACGAGGGAGAGGAGCAAAGCCAGAATTTTGCCTCCTCAGTGGGTGAAATCTGAAGCATTTACTGAGAAGATAAGAAAGGTTAGAGGAGGACGTGGCTGGAGAATAAGACATATGAGTTTCCATGTGGAACTGTGGAACCGTCTGTGGTAGGTGGTCAGTGAGCTTCCTGATTCAACCCTGGATCCCCACTGCCCTCCTTCCAAGGAATGAGGAACATCTGAAATCATTTGGTATGTGATGACACAGAAACGCATGCTTCTCATCAGCTGCCAGCAGCCCATCTGCCTATATTGATTTTTTTTCTTTTGTGCCAGTCCTGGGGCTTGAACTTAGGGTCTAAGCATTGTAGTTTTTCCATTCAAGACTGGCATTCTACCACTTGAGCCACAGTTCCACTTCAGGCTTTATTTGCTGGTTAATTGGAGATAAGAATCTCCCCATACTTTCTTGGCCAGCTGGCTTCAAACTGCCATCCTCAAGATCTCAGACTCCTGAGTAGGTAGGATTATAGGTGTAAGCTCCTAGACCTAGCTGTACTGGTAATTTTTGATGACTAATAATGATGTTCTAATATCCAAATGATCCTTAGCAGAAAAAGCTTCCTTTCCTTTCAGTGAGTAACTGAAATATAGTTGACACTGAAATTTTTACCTTCTGGGGGCATGGAGGGTCTTTTCCAACTTCTTTCAAAAGAAGTTCTTAGCCGGGCGCCGATGGCTCACACCTGTAATCCTAGCTGAGGAGGCTGAGATCTGAGGATCATGGTTCAAAGCCAACCCGGGCAGAAAAGTCCATTAGACTCTTCAATAAACCACGCAGAAAACCGTAAATGTCACAGTGGCTCAAGTGATATAGCACTAGCCTTGAGCTGAAGAGCTGAGGGACAGCACCCAGGCCCAGAGTTCAAGCCTCATGACCACCACCAACAACAACAAAAAAGAAGTTCTTAGATTATTCCAGTCTCAGGTCTTATCACCTCCTCTTCCACATCTCTCTCATATTGCCTTTATTATTCAACACAATTTTGGGTAAAGGAACCAAAGTGGTTTTCAATTGTGACGCTCTATTCCCCCTTCCTTGGAGAGAGAGCTGTTATGAACCAATAAAAAGCCAATATTGAACCAATGTCAATTTGAGGTGTCTATAAACTCCTAGATTGAGTTTTAAGAATTTTACTATCTGGAAATCACTATGTTTTGACATAGAATGCATTTTAAACATGACAGTTCTTAATAGTGGTGTTCGTAAAATGGGCCGTTGAGAGGATCCAGGGAGACAGCACAGAGCCTGGTGCTTAGCAAATGCTCAAAACATATTTGAAGGAAAGCAGGGACAGATCAGGAATAAGAACACATTATGCAATGAGGTGCAAATAGATGCAAATGAGTAGACTCTAAAGGCTTATCCATCTGTTCTGAGCCTCAGCCTGATTAAGGGCTGCTCAAAAGGGGGACTAAGTTTTTATTTTCTCTGATCAAGCCCCAGGCACTGCTACAAAACCCTCAGCGTGCTGAGAAGCAAAAGCAAGCCTGGCTGGAGTTTCAGCTGTGTCAGCCCCACCTGCTGAGGGTCCCCAGTAAATTGTCTCTCAGTCAGAAGGCTCATTAAATGCAGAAAAGGTGAAAACACTCCCAAGAGAGAACAGTGAAGCTCCCATCAGAGAGAGTCCAACTCAGGCCTAGCTCTGCCTAATCTACCCAAATATGTAAGTGTTAGTGATTTTCTTTTTTTCCCTTTTTAAAAAAAAATTAATTTTAGGAATTAACATCAAAGGTAATTCTCAGAGCCCATTTCTTTCTGGACTTCATAGATGGCTTGAACCTGCTTCTTCTTTGACTGTGGTTAACTTTCCCTCTGGTGTGAATCTTACATTTGAAACTGTCTGAATGAGCCAACCTGGCATCCTTAGCAAAGACCTAGCACCATAACACTAAAAGCATACACACGCTTCCTAGAATCTAGATCCCAAGTTTTTTAGGAAGCTGGCCAGTGAGTCTTTTCAAATATTTTATTTTTCTCTCTGGAAAAACAAAACCGAGGCATTTGGCAGACACTGTAGTCTACAAGTCCTCCTCCTGCATGTTTCTTTCTGTATTTGGGTTTTTTTCAAAACTATAATTCTAAAGATGGGTGGCTGAGTGCCTTACCTACCAGGAAAGAAACATAGGTTTAAACTTAAATGCCTGCAAGGGGCAAAGCACCGAATTATACTAACACATTGTTTTAATCAGGGGAGTAAAACTCTGATGATGTTCCCTCACCCCACTCCTGAGTTACCTTGGCCAGCCACAGTCACAGAGTTGTGCAGGTACATAGTTTTCCCGCCATCTCTGAGAAGCCTCTGACTTAATACCTGTCATTTCTAACTCTACGGCTCCATTTGCTCTGGGTCCCCGGTCACACCCATACTCAGCCATGTAAACCTGGCTCCCGCACAGGATCCCAGATGAAAGCACTTATGCTCCTGGTGCAGACAGTGCAGGTATTTCCCCAGGCAGGGTCATACTGCAAAGTGTCATACCACGCTCCTTGTTCCCTTTTCCCTCTCTCTCTTTTCCTCAGTTATTTCCCTGGAAGGTTAGACAGATTTTTCTATATGTGTGGCCCATAAATTAATTCTTCCCTAGCCACCTGCAGCCCATCTCACTCAGAACAATACTCACCTGATCAGAGAACCATACAGATTTGCCCCAAGTGGGAGGAGTAGACGTGTCCCTTCCAAACAGAGTTCCTCTCTGGAAGGAACACTGGAGGATTCTGTTTTCTCCTCTCAGCTGAATAGCTATATACTCAGAGGTCCTGGAAAAGCCATTATCTCTGAGGGCAGGGAGCAGGCCAGGGTAAAAGCAGTGGCAAAGGAAACCAAACCTCCCCAGCAACCTTAGGAGCCCTCCTCCTTGCCTCTGTCTCCTCCACTGCCCCTCTTTCCCCTGAATCCCTCGTCTTCTGTGAGGAACTGTTCCTTCTCTGCATGGGCCTCAGTCCTGTGCCATAGTGTGATGGATCAGGCTGGCACAGGCCCCCTAGCACCCAGTAGGCGCACCCCATGCGTTTGTGGAGTGGATCAATCAGTAAGAGGAATTGTGTGGGACTTTGGTCTTACTCCAGCACGGGTTCATTCTCAACATGGATCTAGCACCAGTCAGTTCTTAGACCTAAACCAACTTCTTAGATCCAAGATGAAGACCACCACGGTGCTTCCATGGAGACTCACCAAGATGGTGACAAGTATTGGGCTTGGAATGTGGCTTAGTGCTTGCCTAGCACGTTTGAAGGCTGGAAGTGGCGCTGTGCCTCAAGTGGTAGAGTGCTAGCCTTGAGCAAAAGGAAACTCAGGGACAGGCCCCGAGTTCAAGTCCCAGGACTGGCAAAAAAAAAAAAAAGATAGTGACAAGAACTGCAAAGGAAAATAGAGCAGAAAGACAACAAACCCAGTGTTGGATATTTTGGACAAGACTCTATTTCTTTTTTATTTTTATTTATTTATTTGTCGGTCATGGGTCTTGAACTCTGAGCCTGAATGCTGTCCCTCAGCTCTTCAGCTCAAGCCTAGTGCTCTACCACCTGAGCCACTGTGCCACTTCTGGTTTTCTGAATGGTTTATTGGAGATAAGAATCTCACAGCCTTTTCTGCCTGGGCTGGCTTTGAACCACAATCCTCAGATCTCAGCCTCTTGAGTAGCTAGGATTACAGGCATGAGCCACTGGTGCCCGGCTTCTTTTTAATTTTTGTGTATTTATTTTATTGCCTTGCAGAGCTGGGAAGGAAATCTTGCACCTACGAGACCAGCACTCTACCACTGAGCTGCATCCCCAGCCCCAAGGCTTCACTCTTCATCTCCCATGTCCTTGATTATGAATGAGAAGGTTTAGATCCAGCATTCCGGGTAGAAGAACTAGCAGAACTAGAAGACCCTCCTTCGTGCATGAAAGCACCTCACAAAGCAGCTAAGGGGAGCCCGCATCTCCACTGTCGGTTGAGATGAAGCATCTCTGATCCACCTCTGAAAAGGCACAGCTGAGCAGCCAGCTGCTGTACACATGTGCCTGGCACCTTGGACAATTGTCGGGCAGAAGAGGGGATTGAGGCCCAGCCTCACAAGAGACTTACAGTCAGCCCAGGCTTTCTGCATCAAGCTTTCTAAGGCCCTCAGTCTCCTTGTATGTGAAACAAGACTTTTTGGACTTAAATGTTCCTGCAGGCTTTCCAACCACAGGGTTTGCGGCCAAGTCACTTAGCAACATGGAGCTCATCTTGCTGCGGTGGCCTTTAGGCCTTCCTTGATATAATAATCAAATGATATAGGTTTACTAAGCCTCCTGCATCAGGGTCCCTTGCTGTATGGGTCCCTTTGCAAGACTGGGCCTGATTCTGACTGGTGGGTGTGGGAAACCCCCAATGCTTCCTACAGTAAAGGGTGCTACCTGCTTAGAAAAACCCTAGTTGATCTCTGGTGGCTTTCCTGGGACTGCAGGCAGAAACAGGGGATGACTCAACTTGACATGCCCACCCAGGTGCCAGAAACAGCCTGCCCAAGACCCTGGTCATCACCCAGGACCTTCCCCCTTGAACCTAAGGACAAGGAGCTGAACACAGCCCTGCAACATGCTCAGGGGCCATGATGGTCCAGGCTTTACAACCACCAGTGCCCCCTTCATCTAGGACACAGGCCCACCTTCCATCCATGCATAGTCTATGCCTAGTAAGGAGCAGAGAACTGAATTCTCTGGGGCATCTGTCTGGAGCCACCTGAGCAAAAGCCAAAGCTCTGCAGATGTGGCAGCACTAGTAACAACTGTGATTAACTATGTTTGAAGCAAAATGGACTTAACCTGGTTGTTTTCCCCTTCTGTTGAAAAGTATACTAGACCATTAAGATAAAGAGACAATTATAGAGTATGCAGCTAAAATATAGCAGGTACATAAGGCAGCTATGCACAACTTGACTCATTTTTGTGTTGCTTATCAGTCATTTTATTATTAAGCTTCTCTGGGTTGTGTCATACCTGGGAGAATTGTCTGTTTTCATATTTGCTGTGATATCTGCTCATGGTCTAGGTATTCAGTTTCATATCTAACATTAACACTCTCCTTTAAAAGGCCCACCCCTACATCAACTTGAAGCTCTCAGTACCGGAGTCCTTCCTGATTACCAACTGAAACCCTTTCCCAGTAGTCTCAATTCCATCTCAGCAATCCTGAGAAGTCACTCCATTAGCAGTGAGGAAAACGGAGGCTCCGAAAAGCTAAGTCACTAGCCCAACTTAAACCAGCATGAAATGGTGGGACTGGAATTCAGAGCCATTGACCCCTTTTAATGACCCCATGCTTATCCATGGATTCATCATTCACATTTCCATCGTGGGTCCTCTCTTTTTGTTGTTCGTGATTATCCAAAGCTAGCCAAACACTAGCCAGGGCCACCACAAGCCAGGTTTCCTTGGACCATCTGGGAGTCTGCCTGGCTCAGCTCCTTTGCCAGCTCAGGCATTTCCTGTGTGCTGATATGGGGTGTCCTCCCTCACATAATTGGTTTACCCCTCATAGTGGTCAGTATGGTGGCCTTAGCTTGGCTTTTTGGCTAAGACTGAACTTTAGTGAAAGAGAGTAGTAGGCTTAAGCTGGCTAAGCACACCCAGTCTTGGCAGAACCCAGGGGCCGCCAAGCCCAGTCTTGGCTTTGGGCAGTACAGGAGGTAAGAAGGGACAGTGTCTTATTATCCTAAAAACCTCTTCCAAAGTGTGGTACAGAGAAATGCTCTTCTTCGGAAGAAACAGGCAGGGAAGTCTGTTTCTAGTTATGTTTTTCATTATGAGGGTCAGGGTAAACACAGACGTAGGAAAATGCAAGCCAGGCCTCAGACTAAATACACAGCTAACTGTTGCTCCAGCCATCACACACGGAACAACCTGTTCCCTGAGTTACATCTTGTAGTGCCTGTTCTTGAATCCCTTTCAGGAAATCTAACGCCATAGCTTTGCCTTGTGGTCTCACCCAGAAGCCACTGTGCAAGGATTTTCTTTTTCCCAAAAAAGACACAAAGCAAGAAACATGGCTAATATTGTGATGTGCTGAGAAGGCTCTGCACGCACCCACAGTGCCCACCCTCAGGCCCCAATGCTGCCCCTTGTTAATTGATCCCTGCAGAGAAAACTCCCCAGCCAGAGCTATGGACCAGTCTGCAGCCCTCTGAGATCCCCAGAGGGAAGCAAAATAAAGTAGGACTTACAGCAAAAGTCCCTGAGCCAGGATCCTAACAGCTTCCACTTCCAGATCCACGGCTGGGGAGAGAAGGCCTTTGTCCCCTTCCAAAACTATTGAGGGAATCTGGAAAGGAGTTTGCGAAGAGCAGGGGTCCTCCCCTGCATGGATCCACTGGACAGCCTCTTGCTGTTGCCAGTGACCCTGGCCTGGCATAAGCAAATCCTGTCACCGTTTCACATACCTCATTGTTTGCTTCTTTTCCTCCAGAGCGAAACACAGAACAACAGAGTTCTATTGAGTTCTGTTTTTTGCAGAAGCAGGCAGGGCTCAGAGGAAGGGAAGGTGCTGAATTCCAGCTCCTGTCAAAAGAATAAACAGCTATTTCAGGAAGAAGGGGGTGGGTGGATAGACAGAGCCCTTGTAGCTGCCGCTAGCTCTGTTCCTGCAACCCCGGGAAATGGGCTGTTTATCAGGTCTGTTGACTCAAAGCTACGTGCCGAGGCTGAATTGGTTCTCTTGAGTACAGTCCATGGCTGGCTTCTTGCACCAAATGAAACTAACAGGACCAAACTGGAGGGTAGGCTACTACCCGGCAGAGGAACACATGAACCACACAGGTCACCTGCTCCTTAGGAAAACCTGGAACCATTTGGGACCTCTACAACCTCAAGTGACAGCTCTCAGGAACAGACAATGATGTGTTTTTGTTTTTTTTTAACACCCCCCAAACCAGCGGTGGACGGGTTAGGCACTCTTGAGAGTACTCAAGACTTTTCAAAGTCTCTAGAGCCCCTCCTCTATACCCTTGAGGGTTTGGACCTGCTAAGTTTTGCTGGCACATTGTATTTTTAGAGTGCTATGAGATCTCATAGCAAACCGTCCTGTAAAAACTTTAAAAGGTCACCGTGGCCCACTGTGCTCCTGGTCTGAACAATGCTCAGCCCTTCCCATACCCGCCCGCCCTCGGATCCCAAAATAGAATCGTCCCACTGGAGGAGACTTGGGAGCAGTGGATTTTCAAGCTAGAAATAAAAAGCCAAAACTTTTCCAAACAGCAAATGAAGTCATTCTCAGATGCCCTACTACACACAACAGAACAAGAGGGCTTTGGCTCAAGACGGGAGGAGGCAATACTCTAAGCTCCTTGCTTCATCCTGCCCAAGTAGACATGGCCACTAAGTACAGGAACCGCAGACTCAGACGACAAAGCTGGACAGGAAGGAATCAAGGACTGACCCTTGGGTTGCTCCGCTATGAATCTAGTTTCTTCCTCCTGTTCTCAGAAGGAAGTTTCGCAGTTTCCTTTTCTGAAGTCCTGAGCAAGTTGATTAAAACAACCCTTAGAGTCTGGAAGCCCTTCCCAAGAGACTCCCCGAAATCCTACCTACAACCTTCAAAAACATACACATTGTGATACTGTCATTCCACTCCTAGCTCTATACCCAAGAAATGGATACCAGGACCATATATACTGGATGAGTTCAGAAGCAAGCAAAATTAAATGTATGGTGTTAGGCATCGGGCAGGTATTTTCCCTAAGGGTGGTAGAAACTGGAGAAGGGGCTTGGTATGCTCTGCCCTGGGCAGTGGTTACATGGACCTGTCCACTGTGTGAAAATGCCTCACCAACAGACCTTTTCCAGACAGGTATTAAGGATTAAAAAAACAAAACTAATCAAAAAAACCTTTAAACCAGCCAGCAGCTGTGTGTTTTGGAAGCATCCTGTCTCCCCTATGGCTTCAAAAGCCCATAGACCATGGATGGTCTCTGCCTTTTCTTCTCTTGGATTGCCCATCCCAATCTTATGTGCTGAACCCCTTGGTCTGCTGTATTAAGAGCCTAGGAATCTGGACCTATGGTCAGCATGGAAGGGAGAGAGAATGGATTGGAATCTGAGGGGCTTGAGATAAACAGGGACTATTGGAGGATGCTGGAGACAGACCCCAGGGTATCCTGCACGCCAAGTACGGAGCCTCTAGCACTGAGCCACACACCCAGCTCTTCCCAGGGCCTCTCAATGAACAACACTGATCATTTCTATTGATCACACACCCACTTTACAGTTTACAAAATAGTCCCTCTTTCTTTATCTCAGGAGACCCTCAGGGTCTCCCAGAAAGTGGCTCTTCACTCTTTTCACCTTATACAAGGTCACCTGCTGGGACATTTCCCTGGTAGGTCCTGTGCTGCCTTTCTTACCTGGGGCCCTCCAAAATAATAAGGCTTTCCAGACTGATTAAGCTCTCTGGCAGACCACTTGCAAACCTGCAAGACAGAAAGTGCAACTTCTGTGTGTGTGTGTGTGTGTGTGTGTGTGTGTGTGTGTGTACGCATGCACACGTGTGCCAGTCCTAGGGCCTGAACCCTGAGCTTTTTTTTTTACACTTTCCCCAAGACTAGTGCTCTACCACTTTAACCACAGCTCTACTTCTGGCTCTTTTGGTGCTTACCTCCAGATCAGAGTCTCAGAGACTTTCCTGCGAGGGCTGGCTTTTTGAACCACAATCCTCAGATCTCAGCCTCCTGAGTAGCTAGGATCACAAGAGTGAACCACCAGTACCCAGCCAGAAGGTATAACTTCTAGAGACACTAGAATCTAGAGGATTCCTCCATCCCAGACACACACCATTCTGGAACTCTCAAAGGAGTAACATTGTGGTCATTCCTTCACAGAGAGGCAACAAGGCATAACGAATAGCCCTGGGCTACAGACTTCAGCAGCTGATCAAAGTGCAGATGCTGCCAGGGCTGGAATGGGGAAGCTCATCATGCCAGCCAGAGGAGCCTCTGGATCTATCCAGTGGCAGCCTGCATTCCGTGCATGCCACCTTCCACATTCTGAATAGAGTGCCAGGGCCTCTGCGTCAGGGTGAGATCCGCTATAGCACTAGTGTGGCAAAGGCTGCCTTTGCATCCCAGGTCACTCCCATGGGAAACATGAAGGTCAAGAGTGCCACCCTGCTCACTTCTTTGGAAACAGGAGGATTAAGTGTCCTTGGCAAATAATGCTTGCAAATTATCATCATTTGCTTAATCTCAAATAGTGTTTAGGGAGGGCATAAAAGACATGCCTGCCAATGCTTGCCAGTGATAAAGCAGCGTGCTTGGTTTCCTGCGCTGAGTAATGGGATAATTACAAAGCCCTATCTACCTCTCAGGTTGGCTGAGGGCTGCTAAATAGGCTGGTAGTGAGCACCGATGCTGGCACATGGCTGTTCCGGCTCTGCCTCTTGGGCAGTTCTGACTGTAGGTACTACTAGGAACTTCTTGAGGCATCTCAATAGCAAAGCAAAGAGGGGAGGGAAGACAACTTCTTGAGACAGACTCTGGCATGGTTCATGGGGAACCTTACTCCTACCCCAGAATGCAGCCAGGGTCAGGAAAAGACGTGAACACCTGGGAAGCTGACTAAGGAAAGCAGTCCTGCTGAATTCTCCCACCCACCCAGGGTAGCTGGGAAGTCACTACAGAGCCTATAAAGGTAGCTCATTTGTAGGGGGAGAATTTGAGGGAAAAAAAGTTCCGAACAATAGTAGGAATACAACTTGGGCAGAAAAGAGTCCCAACCAAGTACTTACAAGGCCAGTGACAGTTCCACAGACCACAGGGCCTTAAGACAGGTCCTTTTCCCCGTGGGAGCCTTGGCTCCCAGCTCAGCACCAAGACACCATCATAGTTGAAGCAAAGCATTCCCAGGGTGCCCTAGGTTCCTGTGGCTCTTTGATTTGTTGTTTTCTGGGTGGCGAGGGCTTGGCAGAGATGCACAGGTTTGGTGGCTGCAAAGGGCCTGTTCTCACTTGCTCTGCAAACCTGGCTGATAACTGTGCAGCCTTCAAAACTTGCAGACCTACTTTCTGCCTGAGTTGAGTTCTTCCCTGAATTTCCACAAGCCCTGGGAGGTTGTTTGTCTCTCTGTACTTGGAGCTTGGGGTGATGTGCAGGTTTCCATCTTGTCCCTTCTTCCCCTCCCCTGCCAAGATCCTCAAAAGAAGTAGTGATACCGGATCTGCCACAAAGTCTCTGGGTAGTAGTGTTTACCCAGGGCCTGGTATAGAGTAGAGATGAGGAATGGTAGACAGGCAGACAGAGGTACCCAAAATGCATACATTCCCTAAATTGTTCTAGGTGACTTGACATATATATCACACTGCTGGAGATAATTGGTTTCTTTCTGGTGTGGCAGAGAGAGCATCTGTTCCAAGCTTCTTTTCCTGCATTCTAGTGGTAGCTGGCAATCCTTGGGGTTTTTGGTGGCATCCAAAGTCAAGCTACCTCTGTTGTCACCTGTCACTCTAGGCCATAATGTGTCTTCTATGTCTGGCTTCCAATTTCCTTGGGGGAATTGCCACTAGTGACAATTAACCAATACTCATTGGCTGAGAGCCTGCAACCTCTATGGAACTAACCATGAGGCTGAACCCTAGGTACAATGACAGAGTTCACAGCTCAGGGAAACAAGGAGGTGTTCCTGAAAAGGAGGAAAGTGGATAGATTCTCATAGCACATCTGTTTGACCAGGATTTTTCTGGGAGAGGGATGAAGGAGAAGACAGCTAAGTAGGAAGAAACGAAGCTCCTTCCCAGGGCAGGCTTGGCACCAGCAGCTTGAGCAAAGGCTCCTAGGTGTAGCTGGCACCAAACACTGCACCCAGGAACAAGCATCGGATGAGAAAGTGACATCAGATAGCTGAAAGACATCTTTTAAGATATTTGTCTAGGAAGGGCTAGAGCAAAGGTGTTGGCTAGAGGGGACTGGAAAAAAAAAAAAAAAGAAAAGAAAACTACTCCTGCAGTATTCAGTGGCCATGGAAGCCAGTGCAGACACAAAACCAGACTCAAAGGCAGAGGACAGTGCTGAAGGCTCCCAGACAAGCCCCATGTGGGGTCATCCTAGGCACTAAGGGAGGGCAGAAGGTTGATGCTCTTCTGAACAAAGGGGAAGGAGACAAGGATGGGTGGGTTGATGATCTCAGGGGACAGAGGGGAACAGAAAGCTGAGGGGTTATAGCCTAGAGCCATGAAGTGGGTGGGAGGGCACAGTGGGGGATGGGAGGTAGAAGATAAAGAGCCCCTCAGAATCCGACCCTGAGTCTCTTCAAAACTGAGGAGGGTCATTGAATGGTATCCATTTTCAGTTGTCAGGTAAGAGTGAGTAGGAGAGAGAGAAAAAATCTCTCCCTAGAGGCTAGTCAGGAGGTGAAAAACTCCTGAAGCCAATGGCAGGAGCTAGAAGATAAACTAAAGAAGTGGTTGGAGAGAATTAAGAAGGAAGTGGCACCCTGTGACCCTTGGATTCTGTGAAATAAATTCTCTCACAAACTTTTGCA